ATGAAAAATGAAAGATCTCTGAAACGTGCCTGCATTGTCCAAGAATGAAATTCCGGAAATTCCACAAAAGAAAGCTGTCCTGAATTGGTGGATGGCAATCACGCTTGTGCTGCAGACAGTATCCACCAGTTCTTTGGTCAGAGACGTACTTGTAGTGATGCTGGACTCAGTTGCACGCGAGAATGCATCACTTCACCACAGTGAGATGGGCAAATACCCGGACTCCACATGGAAGAGACAATATTCAGTTCATTTTGCAGATTCCGATTTCAGTGATTGACTGCCTGCCAATCAATTAATGATTACCTGGCCTGAGACAGGCGGGTCCATCAAAAAAACAGTGGTTTTGAGTTTTGAGTTTTTTGACTCTTAAGTTAAGCTTTGGGGTTCAACTTCGGCCCAGTCCTTCTGACAAGTGGCTCAGTGAACCAAAATTTCTGCGAATAAAGGCTCCCTTGACTGTGTCTGGCTCTGACACGCTCGCAGTCCATGTCTTGAACCCCAAGAAGTCGCTGAGCTCCTTCCTAAAGGAAAAGCTCGGCGGGCTCGGCCGGTTGAATAATGCTGCTAGACTGCTAGAGCAAATGAAGTGACTCAAGTCAAAACAAACCCATCAAAACTTTGAGCAACACAATGCATCTTAGTTGGGCCAGGGATCACAAATCACAACTGGTACAAATACCCTCACCACATAACCATGGTTTAAACATGTTTAGACTGTTTACATCAACTGTCAACCATTGATTACCTGGCACTCCAGTCTTGGGATTTCTGGCTTGTTGGCTGCCAAGGCACATTATGTATGTTCCTGGCGCTGACCCCGCGCAAGCTTCGGCCGCCACAATCCTTGCAGAGAAAATAACAATAAACAGGTACGGTACCTGTAATAGTACAGTACAGTCAGTAGATTACTTGGTGAACTCAGAGATCTGCAAGTCTCCCATCTCATCACACTCCCTTGAGACCATTGTTTTGTACTCAACCCCTGTCCAGGTCCCAGCCAACACCTGCGTACAAGAGCCGAGCCACTTGACTCCTGTCAGCTGCCCTTGAAGACGGTCCAGGCCAAGCTTCTGACAAAAGATTCGGGCCCAATTGAACATGGGAAGCTGAGGAACTGCTTCAGGACCCTCTGTGTCTGATGGAACTTCATCGCTGGTGGAATCACTCATCCTCAGATCACATGGAAAGCCAGTCCCACACAAAGAAGTGGGGAGCGCACACCAAAAAATGCTTGGAACAGTGAACCCTTCTCACTCTCATCACTCATCACTCTATCTACAGGATCATCTGTGTGACATGTGCTTTAGTTCACCCATGTTCACCTGGGATTGAATCCAAAAAGACTTGTACTGTACACTTTACTTGTACTTGATTCTGCCTTTGCTTCTTTGCTGTAATCACTTGTTTGCTTGCTTGCTGGCTTCCCGGCTTCCCAGCCAGCTACTTCTACTTCCCATTGCGAAACAAGAGGCTGCTCTTCACACAAGAGGTTCCGCACAAAGGAGCCGATGCCCCCAGGGGAGCTGTCAGCATCTTTTTCTGAAGAGCTAGCCATCCCGAGTGCTCAGCCACACCAAGTCGAGCCAAAAAGGATCTACAGGTGTCCCAGTGTCCAGGTCTAAGAGTCCAGGTCTAAGACACCAACACGTGTCACAAGGTCTCTAAGTAGCTAGGACTAGGACCCTCTTACATCCCAAGACCACGAGCTGTTTACTGTTGTAGACAGTCATGTGTAAGGGCAACGAATCTGAATCACGACTCCTTACCTCATAGCACTGTGCATGCTAAGATTGCATTGCGAACTGAGCTAATCCTAAAAGCCTATAGGAATCTAGGAAGCCTTTGCAAAGGCTATCCCTGAATCATGATCCCTTCAAATTCTTTCACTAGTGCCGCCAGAAGCTGAGAGAACTGCCTTGCTACCTTTTGGAAATAGTTTCTGAGCACTTTAGAAATAGTTTCCACACCACCCCAATTAGTCTCCAGATTTTGGAAATAGTTTCAACCTCCTGACAGAAAGGCCATTTAAAGAGGCCAACGCAGGCACTAAACCATAGGCATATATTTAATACCAATTCGACCCCCTGTGTCCAAGAGGACATGATTGATCCGAGGTACTACATCCCTCCGCAGTACTACCCCTTTCTGAAGAAGTTAGGGGACGACACACCGGAGCTCAAGCCCCTCGGCCTGAACGGGCTTTCGAGCGTTTTTCGATCGCTGGTGTCTCTAGAGCCTGTTGGTTCTGACGGAGGGACCTGTCCCCCCAAAGGGATGGTGATGCTCGAGAAAGGCGGCCGCCAAGCACTTGTTTAAACAACCATGAAGCAACTTGTCGCCTAACCCTATAGTCCGTTTGCCCTCCAGCCGCTCTCGCCTAACAGAGCCGGGAGCGAAACACTCCGGTCTTGTGGCGTGCTCTCGCTTGGGGCGTGCTCTCGGAAGGAGGCGGATCGATCTTGGTGCTCCGGAAAACCCACATGGACCCTGACATCCTGGCACCGAATGGCATTCCGAAACCAGTGGTTTTCAGGGTCCATGGGATCGTCTTCAGGGTATTGCGTAGTGAATCCCTGCCAAAGTCCTGAAGTCCATGTGTGGAAAAAAAAGTACCCCCCCTTTGACATGAGAGTTGGCTTGAAAAAAAGTTGATCACCTTTGCCAAAGAATTGTAGGAAGAAATCACCACAACCAAGATTGGGGGTTGGCTATAAGATGATCGACTCCCAGTCTTCTTTTCGCGAAGCTTTCTGCGAGCCATATGCTGTTGTGTTTTGTGAGCAGTTTCGTGATTCGCAAAGTATGGCCATGGCAGTCCTGTTGGCAACGAATGGACGATTGAACACAAACATGTTGAGTTGCCTGAGGTACATCGGGCCTTAACAATTCATGATTCATGACTTGCCGTGCAAAAAGGCTCCGCCAGCTGCCATGATTTTTGCCTTAGGCACTGCCTGCTTCGCAGCGCCAATCCGTCAATCAAGGTTCTTTGGTCTTTCTGAGGCCTTGGATGGACAAGCTTATGAATGGTGAGATGACCTTCGATGACTATGAAGAGATGTTCTACACATTTGCCAAGCCCCTGAAGCGCCTTGGCTTCTAGATTGAAAACGAGGCCCCCCCAAAAGGAACACCAACAACATCAAACAGCTAGGTGTTTGTGCTTGGAATCCGCCCCGCCCTAACTGTTGTTGTGTCTTTTCTTTTCTTCCAGGACTCTGTCGAAGCTCCACCCACAAGGCTTCAAACCAGGAGGTCCGGATCAAGCTGTCCAAAGACTCCTTACCTTCCTCACCACATGATGTACTGGGTGTTGGTTGATGTTGGTTTCAGATAATTGTTCGACCTATTTCAAGTGAGTTGAAGCCACCAAGCAGTTTATGTTTAAGGAGCTTCATGATTGGTACGGCCAGGTCCGACCAGGTCCGGAGGTGGTTCCCTGGGTCCTTGGGATGCTTGCCCCAAACATGCTTCGCCGGTCTTTGTTCCACTCAGAAAGCCACACGTTTGCGGGCCCCCTTTCCAGGTTTGCGGAACCCCAATGCCTGTTTGCCAGGATCCACCGACCCTTGATTCCAATGCCCTACCGATCAGAAGCAGAGATGAAGAAGAGTCCTGAAGTGGCCTGGGAAGGCGCTGCCGCGAACCGCGCGGACCGGACGAAAGGCTTCACGGCGCGGACAATGAACGGATTCGTGGAGCGTTGGGACGAACGATGTTCGCACCAAACGATGGAACTCGTGGACCATGAATCAACTTGATGTTTGTCTCACGGACGTGTTGTATTCTTTGATATTTTTTGCACTTTCAACTATCCTTCCCATCTTCCCTTTTTTGTTGCCAGCTCACTTGGACATGGAAATTCTATGAACTTGTTGAATGACCCCCATCATGTTGCCAGAGTCTATGGCTGCGGGTGCAAATGAGAACCCCTGAATTCTGCCTGGCTGAGCCAACCTTTGAGCAGTCCAATTTGCCCGTTCATGTTCGGTGGGAACCATCCCCGGGTACCCATCCCCCATCGACTCGGAGATTCGACGAGTGCCGGCTGTAGGTGCTTGGCTCTCCTTCCGCACCTTGACATCATCCAGCTCGGGGCATCGACCTGGGAAGAATCCAGACAATCAACATGATGTAGACGTAGATGGATGTACAATTTAAGTATATAAGTTATGTTAATAACTTAATACTACGCATGTATCGTAAGTAGACGTTTAAAAAGCGACTCATATATTGTTAAAGGCACAGGTTTTACAATTCATGTTTGATGAGGGGTTTTGTGAATCAATATTCTACATGTTGGTTTTGGTTAGGAAGCCGTGTTGATTGTTGGAGACGGTTGGAGATGGTTGGAGTTCTTCGCGTACGTATTGCCCTTTGAGGATGTGAGCTCATTTGTCTCCAGAGAAATTGACTCCAGTTGGTTACCAGTTGTCACTCGAGAGACCTGTAAGGTGCCCCATGATTTGTATATATAAGGTACCCCATCATACTCTGAGTTTGTTCATTTCTGGAGCTCTCTCACATCCGCTCTGGTGTGTGCCTTGAGCAGCTGCACTGGTTCAGCAAGTTCGATTGTTGGCCGATTCGTAGCCCAGATTTTGCCTTTCCATCAGGGAGTAGTTCACCTCATGGATGTTCCAATATTGGGACACCTTTGCTCGCCTCCAGTAGCCCAACCTTTTTCGCCGAGGTCAGCGTGTGTTGGGCGACTACACCTCCAGGCGCGGCAGGGGGGTCAGGTGGGTCGTCTCAAGGGAAGGGAGCTGAGATCATTCAGCCGATGAAGAGCACAGGGAAGGAGCATGTCAATAGGCCAGCCAGCTGAAAAGCGCGGCTATTGTGTACTCACACATGCTCACAATATATGATAATGTATGCAAGTACCCAAGCCCCCTACAGTTCCCATCAGGATACTACCCAGGATAAGGGTGTACAACAACCAATGCAGAGACCTGTTTTCACAGCACGGCTGTCCCAGAGCAGGTGTGGTCCGGTGCACATCCATGCAAGTCAAGCGGACACTGGCGAAAGCACCCGCCTTTTGTTTGGCCGATGTTGGCCGTTTGAGGATCGCCCTTGAATCCCTGGAGAACCAAGCTGAACATTTGGAGACACCTGTTTTTCTGGTTTTGAAGGCCCAAAGCCAAGTGATCGTGAAGTTCGAGTGCCCTTAGCTACTACTGTAGTAGTTTCTTGCTGCGTTCGTAGTAGCGATGCCCTTTGTTACGTTCATAGCGATTCCCTTGTTCCTAATGCCAGAAGCGCCCCGTTCCTAGCTTCTTGCTGCTCCAAAACCGGGTGGAGTCAGTCGGTCTTGGAGTCACGTTGGACGCTGTCAGGCACTACTTCCGCGACTTCGTGGGTGGTATGGGCGTCGGAATCTTCCTGGCTTGGGCCACTTGGCCACTTTTTCAGGCAGACATGGCTTAAATTCCATTTATGGTTGATAGCATGTGAGAGAATCCGGCAATACCTCAAACATAGTGACATGGATGAACAGCAAGTAAGTACATCAAAATACCTTACAAAGGAACATGTGCAGGAAAGGAAAGCCGTTTGCTTTTACCAAACAATACACTATTTCAGGTGGCGAAAAGAATGCCCCCTGTTTCCCATGCCTACCACGCCTGTCTGAGATCTACGTCCAAGCCCATCGCCAGTACCGGATTGATATGAAGCTCTTCTACTTGGAGGCAGGATCACTGGATTTGGAGGTGGATGGCCCGATCGCAGGAGACAATGTTTCTGTTGAAATGAGCGAGGTGGAACTAACCGTGAACCCACTTCCATTCTTTGTGACAGTGGGGTCGGCGCGGGAAATCGGTGGTGGATCTAGTGTGTTTACGACCGCCGGCCTAGGAGGCTGTAAATAAGGAAGTCTTGACCTTTTGAATTTTGAAGAAGGGTTGATTATATATGGGATTGACCTTCCGAGCATCATACTTCTAGCCTTATGACCCTGCCCAAAGGATGTTTTGCGATACCAGATCGGCAGCTGAAGAAAGACTTATGATCATACAAAAGCACGTCCTTGAACCAACCATCGTACCACGAGTTCAGAACTGCGACCCAACGGTCTGTCATGTTGTACGACTTCCAAAGGTCTGTCGAAACCGCTGTTGACCGTCTCCCGGACCGTTCGACGGACGTCCGAGGCCCCGGAGCACAAGATCAATTGGGTCACGCCCCGTGGTGATCTGTAGCTGAGTGGAACGGTCAGGCGCCCTTCTCGGCTGGAAAGAGAGTTCTTCAAGAAGAGTCGGTTCTAGACATGAACTGGACTCACGCTTCTGAAAGAAGGATGGTTATACTATATTATACGGACTATAGACATGTCATTGTTTGTGTGTGTGTGATATATATATAGCTACGTTTGGCTTTGTCAGACCTCCAACCCAGAACTCACAAGAGGATTAGGGGCCATGGGTTTAGCGGCTACCTGGTTACCTTGTTCTTTCAGCATTTTTCAGCCATGACGCTCTTGTGAGCCATTTTAGGTAGCTCTGAGTTGGGGTCTGTGTCGATCGCACTTGTTGTCCCTGGTTTCCAAGCTGATTGCATCACCTTGAATATATCATTGCATCACCTGGATTCAACATGGATGCACAAGGAAGCTTGGCCCCCAAAGGAAGCTCTGTGATTGACTTCTTGCTGCGTCCAGCGCCTGACGTGTCGTTGGACGATGCCCGCTAGATGCAGAGGACTTCAGGTGGTGTGAAATCGTTGGACAACTGCCATGGAAGGGAGGTGTCAAAGGAGACCACAGCTTGTCATCCCATCCACTGCCGGGAAATCATGTTGGCTGGGGGTTCACAAGGGCGTTCAAGGCCCCATGCAATTCAAGACTTATTTTACAAGTAATTAAGGCCCACCTGCGGATGTTGGAGGCCCCTTTATCTCAACAAATGTTCTATAGAAGATATGTGTATATATATATATATGTATTATGTATATGTATTTTTTTGTTTGTGGCTTGAGCTGTGATTTCTTCTTTGTATGTGTGTGTGTGTGTGTCAGGTTTTCTCCATTGTGCCTGTGAATGGCGCGAGAACCAGAGAGACTACCTCAGTCCAATGGTGTTGTTCCGGTTGATCCATTGTTCCATCGGCGTCGGGCGTTTGGATCATTGGGCTGTCCGGGGCGTTAAGACTAAGCAATCGTGGGTCAGACCTCGACACCCAACACACTGGCCCAACTGCGCATGATTGATTCAAAGAAGGGGTAGTGGTTTGGTGGTTGGTCAGCTGACTGTTGGCCACATGTTTATAGTTTATCAAGGGAATCACACTTTTCAATCGGAGAGAAAGCCTATGGGAACTAGGGGGGGTTTAAAGTCTAATAAGATTGCACTTCGTGTGGGCCAGCATAGCACAATCATGTCCGTCCCACATGGACCTGTCCCAATGTAAGAAGGATGGACCTGTCAGAACTCTTAAGATCCGTGTTGAACTGTCCAAGCAACACCGTGACGTTGCCATCACCTGGACCCTTTGACCACTCCGAAACGCGCGTGCCGGACCGCCCAGAAACGCGTGCGATCGGTATACTGGACTCGCCGCGGTCCGTGCCACGCTTCTTTTTGATTTGCCGCTGTCGTGACCTGCCCGGGCGAAACAAGAAAAGGACGCGCAGGGACGCCGCGCGCGGCGCTGGTGGAGTAGGGGGCAGACACCCCAGAATGAAGCTGCGATTTGCCCCGTTTCGTTTCACGCCACAGCACATATATAATTAGCAAAGGTTAGCAGCTTTCGATCATTCGTTTGGTGATTTGCCACCTTGGCCCTCAGTTGGAGCAACACAGAAGCTGCAGAACCTGAACTAACTTGGCCAGCCTCTCCGGAAGCCGAGCGCCTCCCCTTGGTGTCGATCTCTTGGGGGCCGGCCGCTGTCTAGCGCCACCGAGGCCGCACCGCGCAGCCTCTTGGCGCATGTCGTCCCTGCCCAGTTGTCAGTTACTAACCATGTTTCCACTATGGTAGGGAACCAGTGGTTCCTAAGACAAACTGTAGACCTAGAAACCCTAGTTCCTAAGACAGTGGTAACTGAGATCCACTGGACAAACTGTTGGGATGGCCAGTGAGTGCCGGCTTCTTCGTGGTTCCCCTGAGCTGTTCAGGGGCAGGGTGCGGCCGGAACTGGCGGCTACGACGGCCCCCAAGACATGACATGATGGCGATGAACCAGGTGGTTTGGGCAGAGGGTCCACTGGTTTGGTTGGATCAGGGTCCATTATAGGGTCTGTGTTTTTTCCATTTGGATGACAAGAGGCCCAACCGGGTCATCACTTCCGGGTTGAAGGAGTCCAGCAGAGCAAGTGTTTGATCCTCTCAGGCACCATGAGGCTGGGACTGTTTGCCGCAGCGGTGTGACTGGGGTGCAGCGTCCGATGTTGTTTGAGTCCTAAGTGATAGACTTGGCTATAGTATGCTAGTATATATATAATTATATGTAATCTTAGTTACATATTTTACATGCTTGCTTGGCACTTTGCAAGAGTCAAAGTCAGCTTGGAGTAGTGAACTGAGTTTGCCCTTTACTTTGAGCCAGTCTTTGAGCGCAGTTGCAACAGCCAGTGCTCAGCCAATGCCTTTGGATCGCATGCCGGTCCAAATGCCGATGTTCGAGCAAGTTGGTGATCTCAAGAATCTCTTCAGACGAGTTTCTACAAACTTAGGTCAACCCCTCCGGTGTAATGACGATTTGGATATCGTATCTAATCTTTGGCACTGGTTGGTGCCTCCACGTCCCTCCTAAGAAATTCAGATTCGCAGCTTCAGTCTCAGTCCAGCCCTCAGGCGGAATCCCTTCTGCGGCGCCGTCTTTTAGAGGTGCCGTTGATTCAACGCAAGACGAGTCGGCGCCGCGGCTTTGGCACTCACGGCACATCCAACACGCATCCCAAAACACCAAGAAGTTCACACAACAGCAAAAGCCTGACCCCAAGGAATTTCAAGGGGATTTGATTTGAGTTTCACCAACGTGAGGTGTTGTTTGGTTTCAGCTGGTGGATGGCGTGGGTCTTGCCGTTGGTTCTGTTGATTGAAGCTACCTTCTACGAGGTGAGCCAACTTACCCAACTTCGGCCAGATCCCAGATCTCGGGGCACATGGCTGGATCTCGGAGTACCAGATCGGGCATATCAAAGAACGGAATCCTTTGGCAAAATCCATCAACATCCCAGAAGAATGGTGTGAGGATGCCATGGATACTTGTGAGTCTCGTGAGAGACAATACATGCTCAGGAGTCGGCGCTGGTGCCCACCCTGGCAGGCATAGGCGGGAGTGTGAGATGCTTTGGGGTGAGAGAAAGGACTGATGCCAAAAGCAGAAAGCAGAACAGCACTGAGCACTGAGAACCAAGCAGGTTGCCTTGCTGGAGCAAAAGCTGTAGGATGATCATGGCATGATGTTGTTGCCCCTTTTTCCTCGGCCAGTCGGTAAATGGTTTTTGTGTCCAATGAAGCAACCCTTGAAGGGTGCCCCGCGGATGTCAACTTGGTCTTGTTTGATTTGCTCTTGACATGTTACTTGTAGATGGAGTGACTTCTTTTAACAGATAGTGTTTCATCGAACTTGTCTTGAGAAAAGCACATGCTTATATATAGTTTGGCCACGTTGCCCTTAAAGATATGTGACATGACCCAGACCGCAAGCAGCAAGCACAATGTTGCTTCTAGATCTTCTAGAAACATGCTGCTAGCTAGGTATGGTGGGAAGAAGATGCCCTTGAAACAAATAACCTCTTGAAAGAGTGCACGTGAATGAAATACCAACAGAAGGTGCAAACCATTTGCAAAGCCTATATATCACAAACATCCAAGTCATATCCTGACATGATAGACCTGTCTCCAAGTGGACCTACCTCACTGTAGTTATATAAATGACTTCCGCGGCTGGTCATGAGTGGCTCACCAATTGAAATCGCCCCTTTGGGTCCTCGCATGCATTTGATTTGGTTGGCAGGGCGACCTGTAAGCTATGGGTCGAAGATGGGCGCGCATTGAAATACAGTGGTTTCAGAGTAGATGGCACAGACCCCATGATGTCCTTTAGATGGGGATCCAAATTAACCACCGACATTGGGGTTTGTGCCAACTACTCTTCCACTACAAACAGGATTGGAAGAGCACATCAGGCGAAAGTAACCCAGCGCTCCTATGAGATGCATTTCACTTTTTGCCCCTTACTACTGGTGGGCACAGGCTGAGGGGGATATCAAGAGATTTACAGGTTGTCAGTGAATATCAGAACGGCGAACTGTGACGGCCAGAATATGCCAGAATCATGCACCAACTAAACCCAACGGGACATGAACTGCTTGGGGTTCTCACGTCAAGAACCACTGGTTGGGGTTCTCACGTTGGATTCAAACGACGAGTCGACCACGTCAAGACCACTCCTTCCGCCTTTGTGTTTCGGTCGGTGTGACCCGCTGGTCACGTCTTGACATGTCAGGATTGCTGGTCTTGATGTTGGTGGCAACTGTATTGATTGGATACTGTTTGCAGGCACGGCTTGGCAAACCTTGTGCTCCGAATTGTATGAGTTCGATTCGATCAATGCGGAGTTGGCAAGTCATTATATACTACATGTGCGATCCACGAGCCAACATGGACGTTGGGCATTCAATTCTTTGCAATGTTTCCAGAATGCCCCAGACCCCAGACAGATTCTACTTCCAGCGCTCCCAGAAAATACTGGACTGTAGATGACTGTAGTATCAACGAGTAGAGTCTTCTGGAGTCTCCTTGGCGAGTGCCGTGTCTCAAGATCTTTTGTTCATTTGGACACCCCTTTTGAAATCCTCGAGAGATGTACCGCTATCGGTTTCATTCTTTGGAATTGGAAATGGATTGAGCAGTTTTCGATCTTAGACCATCCTAGACCCGGTGTTTTCATATTGGGCCCCCATACAGCTCCGACCGTCTCCGTCTTTCGCACCGACCGGCTTCGTCCGGATCGACCCAGGTGGGTCGGCGAGGCTCGCCCGAGCTACGGAAGATGGAGATCGAAGAGGCGTCCGAAGACCGTTGGTCCGAAAGGAGTTGGTATGAGTTGGTCATGTGTGTGTTATACATTATAGTAAATATGTATATTGTATATTCTTTAAAGTATCACTAATGATTGTTGATTATTGCCATTAGCAATTATTGTTGCTATTCTTATCGCACATATTTTTTGCCGTTTGGCCAAGAGGGCTGAAATAGGATGGCTTGACCCCAGGCTGAAACAGTCATTTTAGCCAGGTACCCGACCTGCCCGGCCTTAAACTTCAGGAGACTTGATTGGCTAATTGTGTCGACGGCAGACTAGTGCTTCCCAAAGGAGTTGCTAAAATCGGTGAGCTTTGTGGGTCCTCATGATGGACCCCTGGCACTCCGGAACAGTTTGGCCATACGAGTTGAGATGTTGACACATCCTGGGGGAGTAGAATCAAAGTCATTTTAACCTAGCGTGTCATCGTGAATCCAAGCAATGATAATAAAAGAGCATGTACTGTATTCTTTCGTTATGATGTCATTCAAGACAAGGACAAGGGGCTTGCAATGCAGGACCCCACATACTAGTAGCACATTCATGCAAAAAGCCTGCAAAACAGGAAGCACAAGTGACAGCAGTGACAAAGGGCCTCACCATCCACGCATGAAGACAGCAGCAAACGTCAGCACCCCAGCACATCCGACAATCATTTAAGGTTTTGGTGTGTTTTGGCCTGACCTGGCACAAAATGTTCAATGTGGCAGGGAGCGACCTGCAATGTCAAGCCAGAGATCAGGAATGATCAGGATACACCTGTAAGAATAGGTCCAGACCTGAAGAACATTTCTTGGGTTGTTTGGTGCAGGCTTTGACCCAAGTAATGAAGAAAAGACAGATTAAACATTTCCTGTTTGTAATATTGGAATTCAAGAGGGGCAAGGCTTGCTATGCAGCACTTCACACAGCACTGGCTTTTTCATGGCACAGGGCCAACATTCCTACATGAAGACGGGAGCAACCCCTGGGGGGAATACAAGTTCAACTTTTGCATAACTCCTTTGCACACCCCCGCCCACACTTTTCCTTCCATGTTCACGCTGCTGATGCCAAAGAGAAATTGTGGTGAGCCGACATTGGGAAGGGCAATGGAGTAGGCAGACCCCTGCCAGATTCCTGTTGAGATCCGGCCTTCTGAATTCTTTAAGTTTTTGCATGTTGGCCGGGATTAGCATCAACCAAAATAGGATAATTCAATCGAATGATAAGCATCGATCAGTATCAACATGTATCAAACATATGGTTGGTTCCTTGGTTTCCCTCCCTTGCTCCCTTGGTCCACTGGTTCCCTTGGGTTGGTCCTTTGGTCTCCTGATCCCCTTGCTCCTGGTCCCTGATCCTTGCCCTTCTTACTTTGGTGTTCTGGGATGCACCCACATCACCCGAAAGTGGAACCCCACGCAGGTCCCACGAAACAAAGGACAGATGTGAGGATGAGGCCTACACCCTGTTTGGCCACTTCAGGACAAAGTGAGGAACAGTTCATCATAGTTCCACCCTTGCCCTTTTGTGCAACTGACGGAACAATTTAGAGCAAAAACGAACTATTCCGACCTTACCAACCTTACATTGACCTTGGGCGTCAATTTACAAGAGACCTTGCCTTTAGACACCCTTTTGTCTAAGCGGATTTTTGATGACGCCCTTGGGTTCAGTCCTGTTATCCAACCCGACTCGGTAAGGAATATGCTACCTGGCGAACTGTTAGCAAAACGTGGCACAAAATCCTCGTGGGTCCCTCCATTCCAGGTAACATGTTTCTTTGCAGGGTCTCCGGGTCATGTTGCCTGCCACGGGGTCATGCCTTTTTCCCACGACTCTGCCAGGAAGTTGGCTGGACACTGAGCCTGGTGGTCAAAGCCGGAATGGATCAAGACGGGTGAAAAACCAGTGGGCAAGTGCTAAGTGTTGGATTCTTACACCATGTTTATTATGTTTATTGATGCCTAAGAGATGTCCAGGGCTCAGAAAACCATGGCCGCATCCGAACTCGGAGTCCATGGAGCCACCACGGACTGTGTTCGTCATTCTAAGAAGCGTCACCAGGTGCAGAAATCCGGATGCGTCACCCAAATTGCATCTCCATGGATCGTTCGCTGATCTCCATCTCCTTTCAGCCTTCTCCACACACATGGCAGCAAATTGGCAGCAACTGCCAAAGACATTTGCTGCGTGCAACTGCCAATCCTGACGATTTCAGTATATAACCAGCATGGGGCGTGCTGATTGAAGCCATTGAAGCGATGCATGTTGGTACCCCCGCAACGCGACCCGCGAACACCGAGACCTTATGGAATTGAACATGGAGATGAAGGAGTGCAGTTTGTTTTGATGGCGGCATGCCCTCTAAACGTTTACGCAAAGCGCACTGTATATATTTCATGGAGTTCAATCATATGGAATTTCATAAATGTGATTCTGAGCATTGAATGACGATGTGATCACCACTTGCTTGCAAATTGTCCAAGAGCACATGCTTCTTCCGCCAAGGTGCATGTTTTGATGTCAACGACAAGCAGGCTGCAATTGCATTTGCTGGGTTCGTTTTGTTTCAGTCTCTATTACCCTACTTTGCCAGCTTACGATAAATCCAACTGACTGAGCTCATGTTGAGTTATCTAGAACAGGAAAGTAGTCATAAGGTTTATCGAATCTGCTCAACATCGGAATGTTCCCACAAGACTCCGCAACCAAATCCGCGTTTGACGTTGCCACGACGTGGCGTTTGACGTCGCGACATGGTGAACACGACGGATCTGTTCGCCACAGTTGGATCCCATGGCTTCACTGGCCTCACTGAGCACCAGGCGAGGCGCGTGCTAGAGTGGTCGCAGCATGCTTCCTTGTTGGTCGGTTTCATCGGATTCCGCCCTTTGAATGGAAGTGGAAGTCGCACCGCCTTCGTATTCGGAACATGGTGGTCCAAGGCCAATGGGGCCATCCACGGAACCATGATGTCTTCAGGGAGTGTAAGCCATGTCCTACTTCCATGATCGTTCTGAGAAGATCCGATGAACAGAACCATTCCCGTCCCCGTCGTCGTGTTCTTTCTGTGGCCATTCCACCCAGTCACTCGATGCAGGCCATGAGCGAAAAGCGGTGTGGTTATCATGTATGCACTTGAAATACGCACGTTGTTAATGTCAGACGCTTCGCACGTCTGTCCACCACAGCAACACCGTGTTTGATGAGTAACACACCTCCCCAGCAAGCCAGGCCCAGCTCATCTTGCTCTCGGCCCAATGCCGCTTTGGCAGATTTGGAGATGGGAGAGTTTGGATTGCCAGTGGGCATTCGATGCTTTGGCCAGTGGCAGTTTTGTGAAGCTACTCACTCGAACACACTGATTTCTCTTTTCTCCACGGTGACCGAACTCCACTGCGTGGAAGTGCAATAGATAGATAGATAGATTTGTTCAGCACGTCTTTCAGCATGTCAAGTGGAAAGATCGGTTCCTGTAGTCTAGCATCAACAATCAAGGCAGATCGTGGTAGCAGTGTTTATGTGTGCATTCTGCTGCACCTGTAAAGCCTTTACGCCATCCAGTGAGTATGATAGCAAGATGCCTTTTTTCGTATTATGGTTGATGGTAGCCATCCGACAAGCCGTTGCTCCAAGCCAACCTTTTCGTTCACCGCCAGAGCGCGTGGTCCGCATCCCGCCCACAGATGAGGTGCGGCCGAGTGTTTGTGCGGATGAGGGAGTTGATCATGATCCGGTATCATACCCGGTGTGGGACAAGTGCCTTCCCTGGTCGTCCTGGAGGCACACCGGGGAACACCCAAAGAAATACTGTATGAGATCATGAGACCCGAGCATGGCAGGGGCAATGCTCCTGTCACCCCCCCCGTGTTCCTCTATGTCGTTTTTGTGCATGTTGGGATTCGTGTGCCCATGGGGAAGAACTTGTTTGCACAGCAAGCCAGGCAAGAGCAAGGCACTAGCTGCTAGTCTCATGCTTTCCTTCCAGGTTGCGAACATCACACAAACAGCTTTCCATTATGCAGGTTTGATCTTGTGACACCATGTGTGGATGCAATGGTAACCCACCTCATCATTCCCAGCAACCAGCAACAATGGGCAACCAACTTGTCTCACTTGCTCCAGGCCTTGCCCCCTCCTTCATTCTTCAAGACCCTTGCCTACCTGGTCATTCACTACTTTGATCCCATCTCCATCGGTGTCTTTTGAGGTCCCTTTTGGTCGAGAACGCCCCCTGCCAGTCACACCGAGCCGAGACACCGAGCCGCGGGTCGGTTTCTTTCGTCCGATGGTGTTGGTGCCGGCCGAGCCGAGCATGCAACAAAAAGAGCCGAGTATGTTTGGTCCAAGGTGGCCAACAATACAACAATACTTCCATAGCAAGCCGTTTAGGATGTCACCTCAAGAAACTAAGCCAGTCACAGTCTAGAGTCTAGATAGTTTGAATTTCCCTGCACCCTGATTTGTTCAACTATCTTCCTGGCTATCATGGTTTTTACACGTCGTTCCCTGTTTCAATTCTTTAAACCTTGTGTCGAACGTGCCCATCTTCCTGCCATGGCGCTGTTCGCTGGGCTGAAACCTACAGTCATCGTGCTTCGGCTGGCTGGTACTGTACAGGTTTTGGACATGGTTTGTCATTCTCAGATGCATTGCCATATGAACCGCACAGATGGCCCATGTTCAATCTCCGGGCTTAGATTAGAACAAATGCAGCTCGCAACGAAGCAGGGACCGACAGGCAAGGCATTGAAGAGAATAGACACACCTCCTAACATCTCGGCTTTGCTTCTTGCGCTCCCAAACTAGCTGGCCATTGCAGATATTATATACACGATTAGACGATCTCAATGTGCCAATGCAGTCCGAGGAGTGAACAAAGTACACATGTTGGCTGTTTGCTCACAGTTAGAGGTCGCTTTGAGCAACCTGTGATGCCTTTTTGCCACCCCTATGCGCAGGGAGAGCAACCACTGGTCTAGGAGCAAGCGCTCATTAAACTTGTTCTGTTTGTGACGCAGGTCCGCAGCATCAGACGTGGTTCAGAACGACCCAAGGACCCACTGGTTCAATCTACCAGTTTCAGGTGTGATTTCATATACTGAGACTGGTTTAATCATGTTTAATGCTGGTATGATCGGATTTGGATCCACTTGTTTGTGTGTGTGTTTTTTCACGATTCTCAGAAGGGTTTTCATATGGTGTTCATTGGCAGATGGTCATTTCGTCGTCGAGGGCTTCAGACTCTCGATTCAGGTCATTGGATGTTGGCTCTCAGGCCCCGTCCTGCTTGCTGCGTGGACCGGCATTTTCATGCTGAGGAGACCGTGAGCGGTCAGAACTTGGTCGTTGGTGTAGGATCCTCAAGATTCTTGGGAAGGACTACTTGGCTGTGGCTCAAACTGTTTTTACTAAGTGTTCCACGTATTCTATGTACTATATACCTCTCGACCATCGATCTTTGGCTCAAGTGAAAAGGTGGGCGATATTGGCTGGTTTCCTGTAAACATAGGTTATCAGCCGTATAGCCTTAGGCCCGTAGTATTGCTCCCGCGTCATTCGCAGCCATGGACTTATCTCTGGATTCAGGAGCCCTCGCGAGGCTGGCTGCGCCGTACAATGGTGCGGATGGGCGTGAGAGCGCGGGTGGAAACCCCGCCGCTTTCCATCTACCGTTGATGGATCCGGGCGTCTCGTTCACACCAGACGGAGGATCCAACATGTCAACTGACGGAGGGGGAGCGGGTGGGAACACCGCGCCGGTTTTCAATCAGGCCAATTTTTCCTTTGTGAGCACGCCTCCAGCTGTACTCGCGGAGATGATGCGCCAGGCCACGCAAAATCAGCAACTTGAGGGGCAACGAGCAGAACTAATGCTCGCAGCACAGAGACTCCGAAACGAGGCTGATGAAGCGTTCTCTGAAAATGAGGAGATGAGGATCCAGGCGAAGTTATTCATCACCGCAGCCGAAGCTGGATATCAAACACTACAAGAGCAGGCTCAGACTCAGTTCATGGAAATGTCCATGAATCACCGTCAGCATATCGCTGGAATCGAAATGATTCAGAGTCAGAAGGTCTCATCCCTTGAGATGAACTTGGCGCAGCAACAACAAGCGTCTATGGATTTGCAAAGGCGGCTAACTGAGACGGAATCAATCCAGGCACAACTCCTGAAGGAGCTTCGCGAAATGAAGCAACGGAAGGATGATGCGCCGGGCGTTCCGGAAGGAGCTGCTGAACTTCGTGAGTCCATACCAATGCATGAAGCACCACCTGCAGGTTTGTCCCAGCACGATGATGTTAGATCATTTAGAACTGCTGAATTGTTCGGTACTCCATCCATTAAGTCTCAACCCGGAAGCGTATTTTCCCCTAACGCTGCAGTTTTCCAACCGGTGAGTCCTTGGAATGATGGGTACGCGTCATTAGCAGCACATGCATTGTCGGGCAACCTCGGAAGGGGCGGGCCAGGTAATGGTGGTGGTGGACCGCCAGGAGGGGGAGGAGACAATCCTGGTGGAGGTCGTTCATCAGGTGACCCGATCAATCCTGGGCGTCCAGGCATTCCGCTTCTCAAGATTCCTAAGTCGGGGGGTGGACCACCTGGACCTCCGGGGGATGACAGCGATCCAGACGGAGGGGATGAGTTTGACGATGATGACGATGAATTGACAGACAAGGCTCTTATGAGGAAGCTCAAACAAGTATTGGGGGGAAGAATAGTACCACGAAGGAAGCTGACCATATCAAGATACCTTCCTTTCCACAACCTGAGAACTATCGCAACTGGAAAATCAGGGTGAGGGACGCGGTGAGGGCCGCATCTTCCAAGCCTGACAAAGCGTTCTCTTGGATCAACAAGGTTTGGATTGAAGGTCAAACTATCGAAGGTCTGGCAAGTCCCGACGGGTTCACTACCCTTGATGCCAAGCTTCTTGCCGCACTGTCATCCATCGCCACAGGTGAATTCGCACGCAAGGTTGACACATTCAAGGAGAAGGAGTCCCAGAAAGATCGTCCGGTACGGGGGAGACAGGTGTTACTCATGATGCATGAATACTTCAGCACAAATATCAAACATGGAGCCACCTACTCCCTCAGTGATCTGTTCAATGTGAGAATGAAGGGCGACAATCTCAAGACTTTCTTGACGAACTGGGACTCAGTCACTACCGGTGTTACTCATTTGCCTGAAACCACAGTCCTGGAAACTCTATTCTACCAACAAGTGAAGAATCACAGGGCTATCGCCCATGACATGAGGAGTACCACCGGGCCGAAGAGGGAAGTTCAAAGCACTGCTATCAATTCCTGTATGACGCTGTTCGCAGACATCTCATGAGGGAAAGGCTAGAGGACAATCGGGGACGGATTGCCGCTAGTGTTGGAGGTGCCAAGACGTCCGCCCCTGCGGCCGACGCGCGCACACCATTCATCCCCAGGGGGTTTTGTGTTCAGTGGAACAAAGGGGGTTGTAGCAAGGAGAACTGCCCATTCAAGCATGAAGTTCCTAAGAAACGGGAGAAGAGTGCCACCAAGAGTCCTAGGGGGCGCTCCCAGTCCAGAGGAAAGGAGAAACGGGACACCTCAAAGATTGCACGCAAGTTTTGGAAGGCTGGACGCTGTAAGCGAGGGGACAAGTGTGAATTCTCCCATGAAGGTCAGCAACGACCCAGGAAGGCAACTCCTGCAAGATCGCCCTCACGAGATTCTCAGAAGAGTGACAAGAGCAAGAAAGACAAACGTCGAAAGAAGAAGGGAGACCGATCTCAGTCGAGGGGCTCCAGTGGTTCGCGTAAGTCTGGAGGCTCTAGATCCTCAAAGGGTTCTCGTGGTTCGAGGGGCAGTGCAGGTAAGTCCACTCCGCAGCAGTTTGTCTGGTTGCATCGATGCTCGCATCCGTTGTCGATGGCCTCTCATTGAGCGGCCCAACATCCATGTTGGATCAGATTGGAATCAACTTCAATGAGAGCCAGGCGGCCTGGGAAGGCGAGCCACACATTGCATGTCCAGGGGTGTCATTTAACCTCAAGCCCGATATCACAAGGTTTCATGCATGGGGCAGACTTGATCCTTTTGTTTCGGAACCATCTAAACCGAAGAAGACTTTCCCAGCAAGCTATCAGACCAAGCCTAACATTCAAGCAGTTGATGATTCGATCTTGACAGCACGCATGCTTCAGGGAGCAGTGTCCGGTTGGCTGAAGGGTATCAAAACAGACTGTAGGTACATGTGTGATTCAGACCTAGGTTGTGACTCGTGCATTCCTGCTGATATTGTTGCGTTGCCCGCGTCCTCTCCGACGGAAGTCAAATACTTCCACCATTCGCATGAGGACTGGATAGCAGACACCGGAAGCGCTCAGGACCTGTTGACCCGACATGACATCCCTGATGAATTCCAATATCGATCGGACCGGCCGATTGCTATCATCACAGCTAATGGCCATAGTTCATCGAACCTTCAGGCCAAGGTGTACAACGACACATTGAGTTGTAGGTTTGATCCGTATTTGCTCGAGTCGACACCACCGGTCATGTCTGTCGGAATGAGATGCGTTGATCAAGGTTATGATTTCATTTGGAGATCCGGCAAACCACCCTATTTTAGGAAGCCGGACGGAGAGAAGATAGAGCTCGTGGTCAGGGATTACGTCCCCTACATTCCTGCCAGGGCCAAGTCAAACGCCAATCCCCGCTCGACTTCGTCTTCCTCATTGGCTCCAACGTCTCTTCATCCCATAGCTCCTGGACGTGGTACAGCTGTTCCTGCTGAACCGGCATCGGCCTCGGGTGATGACGGGATGAATGTGTTGAAAGAGAGCCCAGAGAAGGATGAAGCGGGCCGGAAGGCTACGCCGGAGAAAGAGAAAGAAGCACCGAAGGGCAGAGCGGACCGGAAGGTCTCGCCGATGGATGATGTTGATGATGATGTTCCGCAGATACCTGCCGAAGGCAACTTGGACAGGAATCTGGGAAAGGGGATATCATTGTTGAAGAAAGAGGCTAAATCACTTGGGCATCTGGTGAGTCATCACCCCAAGAACCCATATTGTGACGTTTGCAATAAAGCAAAAATGACTAAGCCTCCATCATATCGGCAAGACGGGTCCTCGATAGTTGAAGCCAAGAAATTCGGTGATCACATTACATGTGATTTTCTCATTACCGGTGGTGAATATGAAATGGGAATCGATGAGAAAATGAATATGAAATGGGAATCGATGAAGAGAAGTGTGCATTGATTGTCAAAGACATATATTCCAACTTCATGTATGTGTATCCCAGTGCTAGAAAGAGTGCCGAATCAGTCATCCTGGCTATGAAACACTTTGTTTCGAATGATGATGAAGTGGGAATTTGTTATTCCGACAACGCTCCTGAATTGATCAATGCCATGAAAGAGCTGAAGTGGAGACATGTACTGTCAAAGGCATACATATCCGCCAGCAATGCCGTTGCGGAAAGGTCGATCCGAACCGTGCTTGAAGGAACTCGTGTGAACCTCTTGCAATCCGGTCTCAACCACGGATTTTGGCCTTATGCTGCACGTCACTGGTGTGTCATGAACAACAATTTGTATGCTCTCGATGGAACTGCTTCTCCATGGGAGCTAAGATTCGGGGAACAATCACCTATTAAGTGTTGGCCTTTTGGGTGCATGGTGAACTACTGGAATGGTCCCAAAAAGAAACCCAAAGATGAGCTGAGGTTCGATCCCACATCAAGTGCAGGGGTCTTCGTTGGTTACATCGTTCACCCAGGGTTTCAATGGAGGACAGAATATTTCGTAGTTGATCTCAAGTCGGCCAAAGCAGATAAATACGAGGATATGCATCAGATCAAAAGAGTCATTCGCATCGACGTACCTGAACCGTTCACCTTCCCACTGAAGGATCGCAAGGAAATGGTTCGCAAAGGAGAGATCGCTGACGCGGCCGAAGAGGAAGTCGAGACAGTCCTTGAGGTCCAAGATGCTGTCGAGAGTGCCGTCCCAAACCCAAAGGCGGAAACACTTGAGACATCAGACACCACTCTTCCGAAGGGACCAGTTCTCCGAGGATCCGGTGCCCGAGCAGTCTGGAATCAGGGCTGGTTAGCTTTCATCGGAAGCGGGATCAGTGATGGGTGGTGTGATTACGCCGAATGTAAGGCCAAGTACAGCCCCTGTGAAGGGAAGTTCCTCGACCCGCGTGCAGAAGTAAACACCGAGCAATACTCCTATAGGACCACCCTTATGCACTCCGATGAGGAATCATGGCATGTTGTAGAATCAAATGCACTTATACATCCATGGGATAGGTCAATGGACGGATTG